CCGTCTTGGGGGTACAAACAATGGCAAAGTGTTGTAGAAGTCTGTAGGAGTAAGAACTGGAAAGCACTTGCCTCTAAATATAGTTTGAATCAGAAGGTGGCATATGCTGAAGTTGAAGAGGATATCAAAAGTGGATCTTACGGGGGATGACCTATTCTTGTGATTGGCGTATGAGTACGTTGACGATCAACGATATTGACTTTTGATTCTCGAAACCCTTCTTTCAAACAACAAAATTCTTGTGTCTTCACATTCCCTTCCATGTCAAGCCGTGTTGTTCCCCGACGTGCACTAAACCCATGTTCTTGTGCGAATCCCTTGTAAAAGTACCAAGCTTGATCACGTGAAGAGAAGAGCTTACCAACCAATATGTCAGATTCATCAACATTATATACTTCATGGCATTCATCGGTTGGCTTAACATTGTTTGCATCATTATGATTCATGGCAAAAATTTTGTTGTGCAATTTTAGTGGTCCCAACAGGAGTAGATGGAGATGTAAGTAAAAGTTCATTGAACAACATGTTTTCAGTGGTGCTTTCAATAGGATGTGGTATTGGTAGTGGTAGTTGGAAGGTGAGTACAACATTAAATTTACAGGACATATTCAGGTATGTACAATAATTACAACATTCAATAACTTTAAAGTAATAGATAAATTTAAAATGTAGGTGGTAAAAGTATACTTTTTTAATGACAAAATTAGTAAACACAAAGATTTGTTTCGATACATATGTAAGAATATGTGTCGATATATTTTCAAAAAGTATCGACCCAAAAACATCGAAACAAATAATTATAATGTAATATTTAAATTAACAATGTAACCAGTATACATATACCGGTTAATTATAAAACAGGTCAACATAAAGTATCGACACTTCTTAAGTTTGTGTCGATACTTTTTCCAAAAGAAAGCACAAACAGGTTCACGCATAAAGTGTCGATACATTTAAAATTATATCGATCACAAAAACATCGAAACCGATAATTATAATGTAATAGGTCAATTTACAATGTAGCCGGTTTAAATTTACCGGTTTTATGAGAAAATAGGTCATAATAAAGTATCGACACTTGTGTAATTTGTGTCGATACATTTTGTCCATAATGAATGCCCAACGAGGTGCAAGAATAACGTGTCGATACATTTAAAATTGTATCGATCCCAAAAAATCGAAACAAAAATTACAATGTTATAGGTAAATTTACAATGTACCCGGTATAAATATACCGATTTTATGAGAAAATAGGTCTAAATAATGTATCGACACCTTTATAGTTTGTGTTGATACTTTTTTCCAGAATGAATTAGGAATGCCCAACGAGGTGCAAGCATAAAGTGTAGATACATTTAAAATTGTATCAATCCAAAAAACAACGAAACCAATAATTATAATGTAATAGGTAAATTTACAATGCCAAGAACATCATTGAGTCTCTTGTATCTTTTATTTAAATCATTGACTTTGTCCTCGCATTGCTGCGGCGATACATGATGACCCCTTTCAACCATGAGTTTCGAAACGCACTTCCACTTCCCTATCTTATGCACAATAGACGATTTCCTTCTAACACCACCCAGACAATCAGAAGAAGCATCCTCATCAACATAAAAAACAGCATTAATCAAAAGCCTAACCATTTGTGGTGTCCATTTCACTCGTTGCCACAAGAACTCGCCTCTCTCCTCGGAACCATCATAACATCCATCACCACCACCTTGTTTATCGAAATTGTTCCAATTATCATCACTTGGTTTTTCGATTTCTTTCGTATTCTCAGACCCGAATGGCAAAACATCTTGAAATTGGGAACCTTGCTGGTAAAATTGCTGGTCGTCTAACCCTTGATGAACCTGAAATGAGCCTAGTGAGTCCAAATATGCAAATGACTGAGTCTGACCACCTGGAATCAGATTGTTATCTGATGTTGGATTTCCTTCCATAGTTTGTCAAAAAAAAAATTCAATACTACTTTCAATGTAGCTTACAAGCTTTTTATAGGCCAAATTGACACTTTTGGAAATGGAGAACCAGAGACGGCAATGGCTGCTAACATTAGTAGGTGAATTAAAGCAAAATCTTTGAGCGGATACAAAAATTAAAACGAAATCCAGCAACAAGATTTAGAAAATCCCAAACAAATAAACACCCAAATTGCATGCAACATTGCAAAACTCAAATGTTACACCCGACTCGTTCACTGAAGCTAACGTACACAGTTTTGGGATTCTTCTCGAATGGAAATGTTGTAAAGCAGTGGAAAGAGCTTATCTGGCACAAAAGCAAAGACCCATTTCGTCATAAAAGTTGTTCTTTTCCCCCTTTACACAAATAAAGTTAAAAATATCTCTTTTGGCTCCAAAGCTCTCTTCTTTCCATGCGAACTAGGCAGTTGCGCAATAAGACATGGGTGCAATTTGATTTAACTCAAAAAGAGAATTGGCATGGCTGAGTCAGATCCGACCTGGTTATACTGAACTGTAGTGGTCCAATCTGACTCAATTAATCATGGAATGTAAAAATTTAAGAAAACGAAAATATAAAAATTTAAGAGATATAAAATTAATTATTAATATAAAATAAAAAATATTTTAATTATATAAAAGTTTGAATTTTCTAAGAGTTAGACAACATCCCTTCAATGCTTAAAGTGGATTTTTCTTTGATTTCCTTTAATTTCAAATTTAATTAATCGATCAAATACCGAATATAATGGTAAGGTACATTGTTAATTTTATAAAGAGGTATAATAACGAAATTTCAAACATAAAATTTTCTTTGATTTTCTTTAATTTTTATTATAGTTAATCGATCGAATATCAAATGTTAAGTATAATGATAAGATAAGTTACTAATATTATAAGGAGAGATAACTACAAAACTCAAAACATGAACAATAAAATCAACGTAAAAGATTAAAAAATATATTGAAACATTGTATTTATGTAAAATCCCAAATATCACTCTTTTTTAAATTTTTTATTGAATTACTAAATTTTGAGTATACTGATAAGACACTTTGTTGATATTATTAAGAGAGATAATTACGAAACTCCTAATAATAGAATTAACTTAAAAGAATAAAAAATATATATTAAAACATAGTATTTATGTAAAATCTCAAATATCATTCTTTTAAAAAAATTGTTTTATTGAATTACTAAATTTTGAGTATAGTGATAAGGTATGTTGTTCATATTATTAAGAGAGATAATTATGAAACTCCGAATAATAGAATTAACATAAAAAAACAATGAAAATATATTTATGTAAAATCCCAAATATCATTATTTTTCCGAAGAAAAATTATGAACATAGTATGGAATCACATGTTAAAGGTTAAAGTGACTTATGGCCTACAAGTTTATGCATTTGTTTTCTTTCCTCTTGTCCATCTTAATTTGAAGCAGCGTAGAGTGCTTTAATCTCTTCAACATCATCATAGCTGCCAAGGAAAACAGGAGATCGCTCATGTATCTTCCCTGGGACTAAATCAAGTGCCTACAAATGCATGGAAAATTAACAACATATGAGGATTGTTGCCTTGTGAATCGAACCGACGGTCGAGGAGTCGAACGGTAAGGAACTCGAGTTTTCTCGATCGAAAATGATTGAGGCAAGCAAGTCATATTACCCTTTGTTTTCCAGTGAAAGCTTGACCTCCAGCCTGCTCCATCAGGTATGACATTGGGAAGACTTCGTAAAGAAGACTCTATAGGAAAAGAAGTTATGTTAAGTGAGAAATAACCAAAATTGCAATGAAGAAATGGAGCTTTCAAAGCGATGTTGTACCGAGTTTCCGTTTGGACTTTTCTTATCTGCAGGTATAAGAATACCGCCGTAAAGCATTGTCCGGTGCACATCTGCAACCATGCTGCAAAGGCAAATGCCATTAGTGTTATCTCCGGTCGAGTATAGAATGCAACACATATCCAGACACAGGTAAATATACTCATGTCCGGTGCTCGTGCTTCGAGTCCGTGTAACATAGCGAGCCTAATAGTAGATTACCTTCCAATGTACCTAAGGGACCTTGGGGGGTGAACCATCTGCAGGGAACTTGCATTTTTCCACAAACTTTGTAGTTGGCTCATCCCAATTCATGGCATTTCCTTCATTTACTGAATAAATCTTTCCCCTTTTTGGTACCTTGATATTGGGATGGGTTAGTATGAACTCGCCGAGAGATGGATCGAGTGTGAAACCGTTGACGCCACTCCCGGTACTCAGCACTAGCTGCAAATCAAAAGCAAAGAACCCTTCCAAGGTGTTTCAATTATCAAAACAAAATCGATCTGAGTTGCAGTAAATGCTGATAGTGGTGATTGTTCTTACCGTGCAGGAGCTTCCGTACATGCAATAACCGGGGAGTGTGCCGCTACGATCAGTAAACCTCCACCTAGCTTCATGGTGTGCTGCGATATTAACTTCCGTGATTGCTTCCATTTCTTCAAACTCAAAAGATTGCAATGCTTTTACGCAAGTAAACGACAGTTAATATAGATATAATTAATTAATGACTAAAATAAGAGTGAAGAGAAAGTTGAGTGATTGAATTTGTAATATATCCTACTGTGTCACTTAAAATCCCACCCTTAGGTAGAAATGACAATATTTGGACTATTCACGCAAGTAAAACAAAGCCAAGCAATACCTGTCCCATTCTCCTATATCAACCGTTTTCCTTTTTTGGTAGAGATAAGGTTGTCGTTTTAATTTTTCAATTTTTTTATTTTTGTAATTTCAAATTCGATTGGAAATTTAGAAATTAGGAGGTTTTGAAACTAGGAGGAAAATGCTTGACTTTCTTAGTATGGATAATTAGGTTTTTAATTGAGAATATGCTGATTTTGGTGGAATGGTATTGATTTTGTTGAGCTGGTTTAGTTGGATATTTGATCGTATAACCTGAGGTTACCGAAGAATGTAACACGATCATTGAAATTGAAATTGAAAGGCATTAATTATGATACCACCCTTTAATCACTTGACCATTTCCCTTTTGAAGGTTTGCAATCTGATCATACCGTTCACATGGTTCGTGGTTTTGCCCCATCTTCATCTGCACCTCCTCCTGCAGCTACAACAAATGTTGCAGCGGATAATAATGCACCAGGGGTAACCCGGGGTATTGGTTCGAATGAAGGTGCTGGTCTAGGAGCATCCTTATTCCCCGGACTTGGTCCACTTGGTGGTGGTGGTGGAGGTTTTGTTTTGATTTGTTTGAATCTGGACTTCCTGAATTTGAACAAGTACATCAACAATTAACTCAAAATCCCAACATCATGAGGGAAATAATGAATACACCTGCTATACAAAGTTTGGTGAGATGATCTCATATCTCCTTAGCTGTCTTCTTCTCCTCGATGTTTGACAATACTTCATCTGCTAATGCTAGATGAAAGTTTGACATAGCATTCCCATCGATCTTGTTCCATTTGCTGTCATCTGCGAAATTCACCGGCCTTTTACTGATAGCCGCTAGACACCCATCTTTCCTCAGGATGGCCTTCATCTTCAATTTCCACAATGAGAAATTTCTCCCATTGAATTTTTCAATATATCAAATTTCGTTGCCATAGCTTCTATTACGGATAGCTCTCACTATTTCACTATCGTGAATAGTTCTCTGGAACCTTCAAAGAATGGGTAATACCTTCTTACTTTCTTATGTCGGAAGATCCACCTTTTGGTGGCAACCACAAAGACAATAAATAGATATTACACACTCTAATCTGGCTCGAATACCAATTGTTGCGAAAGACGGCTATCGGATAGAGCAAAATCGTAACTGATAATTTGAGAAAATAAAAATGAAGATAAAGAAGACACAAAATTTAACGTGGAAAACCCCTAAATAATATAGGATAAAAACCACGGGCAACGGTAGAAAAATTTCACTATGAGAAAATAGGAATTACAACTTCTCTCAATCTACCAAGGAGAAAACAATGATAATTCTCTCTTGATAAAAAGGAGAAAACAACTCTCAAGAAACTCTCTAAATTCTCTCTAGTATTGGAAGAAAGCTAGAATGCTTTGGGATGATTTTGAAGCTAAATGAGCTAGGGTATTTATAGTTGAAGCTTTAAGGACTAATTTGTAAATACTCTAAATTACAATGGTTAAAATTGAGGTTTTACCATTATTGAAAAATCAACAAATGCTGCACCGAATGTTGAAAACAATTTCTGCAGCCCAAGCTTTTTGACAATTGCCATTCAGTGCATTAATTGCACCGAAATGGCTTGACTTTCAACATTTTTATTATGTAGATTTGATCAATATTTAAAACAAAGCATTAGTCCGAGTTTATTCACTTGTTGGGTGAACGGTTTGATTTGAGATTCATGTAATTACAATCTGTTGCCCTTGTTTAATGTCGCAAGCTTATGGACTATTATCATTTGACATTTTTCAATGTGGATGAGGGATTCTTTCTTTTAATGGGATTGTTGTATCTGTGTTTTAGATCTTGATTTCATGATGAATTAATGTGTGCTGCAAATTGTCAGGGGGACCCAGACCAATGCTACTGCAAGGCCAAATACTGTTGCGGATGCCAGGACACCAGGTGTTGGTGGTCTGAGAAGCCTTGGACTTCCAGATCTGCCTCCAATGATGAATGGAATGCCATATGCTTCTCAGTTGACTCGGTTATTGCAAAGCCCAGCAATATCACAGATGATGCAGAGCATAATGTCTAATCCCCAATATATGAATCAGGTGTTTTGAGGAATCACTTCAATCAAGAGATTTTCATTTGCTTATTTTCAGTTTGTTAAAAATCTGTTTTACTTTTTAGATTATGAATCTCAACCCCCAACTACGTAGTATGTTTGATTTGAATCCTCAATTGAGAGAGATGATGCAAAACCCGGAAGTACTTCGTCAGATGTTTTCCCCTGAGACAATGCAGGTATGTTCTATGACATTAGTGTCACTGAATTCTCTTGTGGTAAATGCTAAAAGCTTACACAACTTGATGGTTTTCCATCAATATATCTTTCTCTCTTTAGGCTCACCCGTAGCTGATACAGTCTTATGGGCATGCTAAGGCTACCTCACTTTATATAATATCAGATTATTTGCTGTTTTTTTTCAAGTACTGTTTTGACAGTGGAGTCACCTATGTTCACCTTTCCCCCTTTTCCTTTTATTTCTTGCAGCAAATGCTAGCTTTACAACAGTCCCTTATGTCTCTCAATCGACAACAAGCAACCCAGTAAGTGATAGTACCTCTGTCTATTCCATTGATAACAAAAACCTCAATTGCCTTTTACTACTCTTGCTTTCGAGGTTGTCCTAAGATTTCTACACGCTGTGGTTACAAATATCAAAGTGGTTTCTAAACCGACTTAAATCCTATCTGGTTCCTTGATTGAAGATAGATATGTTGTACCTTTCTTCTGTAATTATTGGTTTCAATTGGACCATATGAGATTTGAAAAATAGAATCAATTTTTTATACTAATTGTTTAACCTCATTTGGCTTTCTTACAGGGATTCAGCACAGACCGGTGGTACTACAGGTATAGATTATAACAATTCCAAACTGTAGTTAATTCTCTAAAAAGAGCATGAAGATTACTTCCTCAAATTGTCTAGGGCTTTTCTCTAGTTTGCTGCGCCATCATCCTTTACCAGCTCTTTCAACCGTTTTATGTTTTTACCCATTGTTTTGTTCGATTGTATTTTCAGCGGCACCAGGAGCTGCTAATCTGGACTTGCTGATGAATATGTTTGGCGGACTAGATGCTGGTGGCCTGGGTGTCCCCAACCAACCTGATGGTTAGCATTCTTATTATATGTTTACGAAGGCTTTGGTTTTATTAGATTTTCTTTTTTTTGTACTTTTGGGTCACTACTAATGGCATCTTCATTGGAATACTAGTTCCCCCAGAAGAAGTGTATGCTACACAATTATCGCAACTCCAAGAATTGGGATTCTACGATACGCAAGAGAATATCATAGCACTACGAGCTACTTCCGGAAATGTCCATGTTGCGGTCGAGAGACTTCTGGGAAACCCGGGGCAGTAATTCCTTGAAATTTCATGCTGTCTTTAAATTTGACGAAGAAACTCCCCCATGTAAGATTAGTTGATATTGGCTTGGTGCCTTGGCAAACCACAGCGATTATGGGACAGATTGTTGATTCCTTGTTTTGGTCGTGTTTAGTAAGCAAGTGAACACGATAATATTACAACCGAGAACTCGAAGTTGTTGATATAGGCTTATGCATACATACTTTGGATCATTTCATCTTTGGTACTTTGCTTTTGTACATACACTTCAAATTGTTGTTCTTTCTAATTTTAAATAACTTTAAAACGATTCGACCACCGGGCAGTGTGTGGCTACGGTCACGGAACCTCCACCTTGCTCCATGGTGTGCTACGACATTAACTTCACCGATTGCTTCCTTTTCCTCGACTCAGAAGACTGTAATGTGATTGCATTTTTCAAGCAACTAATTTTGTGTTTTATAGCAGAACAAGGTCTGCTTACTCGAGCGAAGAAACATGTGATGTATGTATATGGTTGAAAAATGGATATGTCGTGAGAACATTAGAAAATCTTCCGATATTGTTCCAAGTCGAGTGTTCTGTAAATGTTTCTAATCTGTTGGTGTGCCATCGCGTGAACTAACTAAAAGCTTGATGTATAAACAAGTGACCCTATCATCAATCCTCGCTCCGGCGAAAAACGAGTCCACCCCGAGCTGCTGGTATACACGTTGCCTCCTTTACTCTTGCACTCAAACTCCCACCATTCAGACCCGTTATTGTTTGCAGCAAGATAAACTTGTCCCATCACCGCCATGTTCAAAACTAGTTACTTATGATTTTGAAATACCCGTTATTTGAATAATTAATTAAAATGATAAAATTGACATATTATCATAATTATTATCATTGCTAATGGGGATGGGATGTGATAAATTAGCGGCAGAGACCTCTATCACCAATAATAATAAATTCACCTTGAAAACTATTATCTAGGTGACTAGTGTGAAAACGATTGTACTAAAAATCACACCAAGGTAGATTCCCAGGAAAGAGGAGGGGTTACAATGGTCCCTCTTAAAACCCACTTTCCTTAGACAGAACTACCAAGACAAGTAATTTTAATAGGACAATAATTAACAACAACTATACCCGACAATAGCTATTAAATAGACATAAAGAGAACCAAATTTAATGAGGTTAGGCCAAAATTATGCCTACCTCCTCGAACACTACTAAAATAATATTTAACTAGTAGATGAAATATTACAAAGAGAAAGAAAGAATACAAATAGCCTTTAATATAGAAGAATGCTTATATTTGTGGGATGCTAAACTAAGGACGAGGAGGGCTCTATTTATAACAAAAGAATTTCCCCTCCTCCTTATACAAAACCAATGTGGGATATTTGCCAAAAACCAACAAATCTCCACCTTGACAAATTCCACACACGTCTCTCAAAAAATTCAATCTTCAGTAGTGTCTGCAAATTCATCTTTCAATTTATAACAATATTGACCAAGTCTAAACAATGTTTAAACTTGACCGCAGTTACCACTTTTGTCAACATATCAGCATGATTCTCAGTGGTCCGAATCTTCTGGATTATGACTCCACCTTCTTCTAGAATCTCTCGTACAAAGTGATATCGAACATCGATGTGCTTCGTCCTTGCATGGTAAACTTGGTTCTTTGCTAAATGAATAGCACTCTGACTGTCACAGTGCACTTTGATGTGCTTTTGTTCCATTCCCAATTCACCAAACAACCCTTGAAGCCAAATTACCTCCTTCACAGCCTCTGTAACTGCCATATACTCTGCCTCTGTAGTAGACAAAGACATTGTTGGCTATAAGGTGGACTTCCAACTGACTAGTGCTTTTGCAAATGTAAACACATAACCAGTAGTTGATCGACGCTTTTCCAAATCACCTGCATAGTCTGAATCACAATACCCAACTACACATTGACCATCTTGTTTGTCCTGTTGAAAGACCAAACCAACATCTACGGTGTTCAGAATATACACCAGAATCCATTTCACAGCTTCTCAATGCTCCTTTCCAGGATCATGCATATACCTGCTCACAATCCCAACTGTCTGCTCGTACACACCATTGCATACATTAAACTACCAACAACACTTGCATACGGAACCTTTGACATGTATTCCCGTTCTGCATCATCCTTAGGTGACATGGATACACCGAGCTTGAAATGAGGAGCAAGAGGTGTACTAACTGGTTTTGACTTCTAATTCATGCCAAAACGTTTTAGTACCTTCCTCAGATATTCTTTCTGAGACAAACAAAGCCTCCCCAATTTCTTATCCCTTGATATCTCCATGCCTAGAATCTTCTTTGCTTCACCAAGATCCTTCATCTCAAACTCCCTGTTCAATTGAGTCTTTAGTTTCGCAATTTCTGTCTGACTCCTGAAAGCTATCAGCATATCATCAACATAAAGAAGAAGATATATATAGAATCCGTCTTGTAGCTTGCGTAAATACACACAATGATCATATTTGCTTCTTGTGTACTTCTGCCCTATCATAAATTTGTCAAATCACTTGTACCACTGCCTTGGAGATTGTTTCAATTCGTATAGCGATTTTTCTAATTTGTACACCATCTCTTCTTTTTCAGCAACTTTGAATCCATCTGGTTGAGTCATGTAGATTTCCTCAGCCAAGTCTCCATGTAAAAATGCAGTTTTTACATCCATCTGAACTAGTTTCAAATCCAACTGTGCTACCAAAGCCAACAAAATTCTGATGAAGGAATGTTTTATAACTGGAGAAAATACTTCATTATAATCAACTCCCTCCGTTTGAGCGTAGCCTTTAGCCACCAATCTTACTTTGTAGCGGATGTTATTTTTGTCAGGAAACCCATCTTTCTTTGCATATACCCACTTGCACCCAATTGCCTTCTTTCCCTTCGGAAGACTAGCTAGTTTCCACGTCTGATTCTTTTGAAGGGATTCCATTTCTTCATTCATGGCGATCCTCCACTTTTTTATGTTCTGAACTTTGTACTGCTTCATTAAAAGTGGCAGGAACGTCATCAATTGCAATTGGTGATGCAAAAGAGACCATATTAGCATAACGATCAGGTTGTCTAATGGTCCTCTTTCCCTTTATAAGTGCAATTGATTCATGTTGCTGTGGAGGTTCTTGGGTCTAAACCTCTTCTTCATCTGACTCTTCTTCTACCACAGGAGAGTCAACATCAGTTTCTTTACTACTGGGTCAATTCTGCTTCCTTCAAACTCCACCTGTTTGGGAGTTCCATCTGTCTGCTCCAATTTTTTGAAGTCACCTTCTCAACATGGTAGATTCATCAAAGGTAATCCCTGCTAAAATTATTTTCTTTGTTCTGGACACCAAAGATATAGCCTTTCATACCATAGGTGATCCCCATAAAGATCGCCTTCTTTGCTCTTGTCCATCCAGCTTTGACTCCTTAACATGGTAGTATGCAGTGGAACCAAACACATGTAAAAATCATAATCTGTAGCAGGTACTCCAAACCATTTCTCTAATGGTGTTTTTACCACCATAGCGTCGATGGTAAGCGTTGACAAGGTGACAACATAGACCAAAGCCTCAGCCCAAAATTCTTTGCCTAACCCAGCATTAGACAACTACACCGAACCTTCTCCACTAATGTTCGGTTCATACGCTCTGCCACCCATTCTGTTGTGGTGTCTTCTGACAGTGAATGCTTGACAATACCTTCTTCTTCACAGACTTCAGAATGGATCATTTTTGTACTCTCCACCATTGTCTGTACGGAGACGTTTGATTTTTATGCCTGTTTGAGTCTCCACAATCTTTTCCATTTAAGGAAAAATCCTAGCACCTCATCTCTTTGTCTTCATTGTATACACCCAAACTCTCCGGGAAAAATCATCAACAAAGGTAACATAAGTGTGTCCTCCCAATGAAGTTGTCTTGGAAGGCCCCAATACATCTGAATGAAAATAATCCAAAATACCTTTAGTATCATATATTGTTGTTCCAAATTTCACCTCGCTTCTTCCATTTGATGCAATGCTTTCAAAAGTTAATTTGCAAGCCGAGCACCCTTCAATAATCCTTGATCTATCAGCAATTTCAAGGATTTTTCACCAACATGCCCCAAGCGCATATGCCATAACCGGGTTGCTTCTGACTCCTGTTCATCAGTAGAAGCTGCCACTGCTGCTGTCCCAACAATTGTACTACCCAGAAAGTAATACACATTTTTTCTTTCCAGATTCCCTTCATTATCACCAGTACACCAGAGATATCCTCATAATCCCATCTTTTCCCTCACTTCTAAACCTTTTGACTCTAAGGTTCCCACAAAGATGAGATTTCTCATTAAATCTGGTACATAATGGACACCTGTTAAGGTTCTGATTGATCCATCTTGATTCCTCAAGCGAATTGAACCAATCCCAAGTGTGTCAAGAGGGAATTATGTTGTGTAGACAATTCTACCTTTTAGTTCTTTAAAATCAAGAACCATTCTCTATTGGGGGTCATATGGTGGCTACAAGCTGAATCTAACAGCCATGAACTGGAACAACTGGTTGATGGCGTAGCAGCGAATGCAAAATCTGAATCTGCATCATCATACTCGACCATATTTGATTCTGAGACAACCTTTCCCCTTTCAGGTTTTCCTTTGTTCTTTAGCCTGGGACAGTCTTTCTTCCAGTGCCCTTTTTCTCGACAAAAGGCACATTCATCTTTGCTCAATCTGGACTTTGACTTCGATCTCCCTCTCCTTCCTTTATTCTGACTCTTCGAACGACCTCTAACAACAAGAGCTTCTGCTTCGACACTTGTGTTTTCTTGTTTGTCTTTCTTTCTCAATTCATAACTACAAGGCAGCAGTTACTTTACTGAGAGACCATCAACTTTTCCCATGAAGTAGAGTAGTTTCAAGATACTCAAACTCATCAGGAAGTGATCTCATCAACATCAGAGCCAGATCTTCATCTTCAAAAGTCACGTCTATATTCATCAGATCAGTCACCAGCTGATTAAAGCTAGTAAT